TAGATGCAACAAGAATAAGATAATAACCCGCATTTGATTATAATAATGATAATGAGAACAATATAAATGCAAAGAAAGATATTAAATAAAATAAAGTCTTAAAGTATTAAGTTACAAAAAGCTTTACGGGATTTTCACCTTTAGCAGAGTTATGGTGAAGATGTTGTTTAAATATAAACCAGGATATGGATAGTTTTCACCACAAAAAACTAATCAGTTTACCCCACCTCATTGGCTATTAATAAAATCTGATTCCTTGACAACCTATTATATATGTGTGTATATATGTATGTGTACACACACACACACACACACACACACACAGATATATATATATATATATATATATATATATATATATATATATATATATATATAAATTCTCACTCTCTCTCTCTCTCTCTCTCTCTCTCTATCTATCTATCTATCTATTTATCTATCTATCTATCTATCTCTCTCTCGTAATAATCATACAAACAGTAAATAAACGCCTCGCACCAAGGTTTAGAATTACAATACAAAATTACGTTGTATTTAAAACATTCGTATAAACACGTTAAACAAACACTCCCCAGGTATAGGTAGGAGGCGCAAATCCCTTTAAAGGTTTCAGATTCCAATTATAAGAGAATACGAATGCAATTATACATCCGATACGTGCATTCTCTTCCAATAGATGCCTTGATCCGGTCTCTCGTCGTGTTAACAATGCCGTGTTATCCAAGTGTGTTAGGTAGTGTGTTATTCAATACCCAGTGGCTGTGGGATCTGTAGAATTTGTCTATATTTGTTTATTTTCATTTGTTCTTAGTTATTTGTTTGTTTGTCCAGGTTATTGGTTATCGAGTTAGCGTCTGTGAAAACCTGTGGGGCCTTTTCCTCAGTCTCTCTCTTGCTTTTTCTTCCCACATTCCTTCTGTATTTATCTAGATTATTCTGTCATTTTTCTAGATTATTAGTTATCTAGTTAGTGTTTTATCCAATGTGATATGACGGAGACTAAACAAACACACATTCCAAACAACATAGATAAAAAGGAAGACTTTTAGAAACCTAAAAAAAAAAAAAAAAAAAAAAAAAAAAAAAAAAAAAAAAAAAAATCTTTGAGAATAATATCTATGAAGCAAATATTAATGAGAAAACATATGACAGGCTTAAATGACACGTGTGGTGGGGTATTATGCCTCCGTAGCCAATATTAATCTGTTTCTAATGGATTCACTGCCAAGTTCCTAAGAAGTATATACACCTTGGTATTATCGTATGAGAATAATATTAAATAAATCATTTAGATAGCGTAAAACAATGAAAAATGATTATTAATATTCAATAATATTCACAAGCTTAGTATACCAAGTAACAGCTAACAAAACTCTTATATTTATATTTATCTTTATATTTATTTTTGACTTATATTTAATATCAAAAACAAAAGAATCATGTCCAGCTCCCATGAACAATGAAAACAGCCAGGAAAAAAACAGAACTCAGCATGTATTTTCCCCGTGTGATGTGATGCGCAGACAATACCGAGTTTTCCACCTTCCGGTCAGCAAGGAAAAAAATCACGCAGGAGGAGAGCAAAACGTCGTTGTTTTGAGAAGAAAGAATCTATTTTTCGTTCAACGTGGCTTCTGTTTATAAAGTTCGTGACGTCATAAGCCACGCCACACACAGTTCGTAAGGAATAAAGTTTGTATAAAAAATACCAATTGGAAAGACGCTAAAATCATGAATAGAATTACCTTCACAATTAGATAAAGCATAAAAAATGCATACTTAATGTGGAGTAGGTAGAAAGAACTACAATAGGGACGGTCATCGTGACGTCACGATCACATGTCACGTGACCTCCTGGTGCCACTGGTGGGCAAAAGAACAACATTCGCCATTAGAATCGTATAGAAACAGGAGCGCAGTGTAGTTTTTATCGTTGTTTATTCGCCAGATTTCGAAAAGTTCGAGTTGCTTTTTTGAAATTCAGTTCGTTATTCAAGTATAATCAAAATGGTTAATAGTTGTATCATCATTGGTTGCGTTAGTCGTCAAGAAAAAGGATCAGGTTTGAGCTTGCCGAAAGATCCTGAACGAAGAAGGCTTTGACTTGCAGCAATCCATAGAAAAAATTACAACCCTCCTTTGGAGAGTGATGTTAGAGTTTGTGGACTTCATTTTATTAACGGTGAGTTTATTTCTTTATTAGCCAATTTCTGGAATTCTGAGCTATGAAGAGATACGATATGCGCTACTTAGGCCCATGGCCTAAGTATGGATTTGTAAACTCATTCATTCAAATAAGCGTATGACTTTTTGAAAATGTTTTTATTTTTAAGTTTTGAATGCATAAAATTCATTAAATTTTATCATATTATGATAATAGTAATAATTATTGTTTCCCATCTTATGTTTGGCAGGTGTAGCATCAGAGGATAAGTGTAGTCTTGATTATGTCCCAACACTGAATCTCGGATATGAAATAAATATTTAAAATATTTAAAAGAAAATTCTTCATTAAATCTGCAATGTTTACTTACTTATAAGCATCAAGTGATTTGTAGGCCTTCAATTCTTCGTTGGTGAAACTACCGGGTGTGTGGATCAGGTAGATGTAGATATCGCCAAAAGTTATGTCGGGCCAGCCACTTGGGCTTTCAGACCAACCATTTAGCAACGAATATGGATCTGGTAAACTCTCAGTACCCTTCGAAAACGTCAGCTTCTCAATATAACGCTTTTTAGCAACAGAATCGAGCGATTTGTAATAGAGGGACATAGTTTTCACTGCAGATTCTGCTGCCATTGTTGATCTTTTGCCCACCAGCGCGATGCGCATGCGCTAAAAATCGATTTGTTTTTGTTTTGATGACCGTCCCTATAGATAAAATATGACGTTAAAACAGATTTTTCTTAAAATGAGAATAAACTTCCATAGACAGAAAAAAAGTGACAAACAGGTAAAGGTAAAATTAGAAGATACTTCAAAATAATAAAAGGTAACCATAAAGCTCACAGAAGAAGCAAGAAATAATTTGCGTATAAATGAATCGCAGATGAAAGGACAGGGTCGCAGGGCAAACTCAAATAAAAGTGTCTTGTACGAACCAACGTGAAATGCAACAATAAAACAGAAATATGTGAGCATATGTACATAGAGAAATCTAAAAGAGCGTTGACCTGAAAGCGAGATGCCAGTGCGCGTGAGACTAAGGGAGGCTGGGGGCGAGATAAGGAAGAGATGGCAGGCTGAGGGAGGCCACTTTACACACGGAATTTAATTTCAATGGAATATATTTACATCTCTAATGAGAATATATATCAAGGAAAAAGAAAGTAAATGATCAAAGAAATGGTAGTCTAAACCTCAAATCTATTAAAATCAAATCTGCAAAATCAAAGAAATTAGTTAGTCAAGCTATTACGTAAACAGAACACTGATGCCATTGATGTTACTCGTACCGGCAATAGCAGTCAGCAGGAATGGCCTTCTGACATTTTTTTTTTTTTTTTTTTTTTTGAGTTGGTAAGACTTTTTTCTCTTGCTTTTTTTTCGAAATGATGAAAGTTAGGAAAGTTTTTGATCCTGTGATGCGTTATTAGTGTTCGACTTGTTCTGCTACGGGTATTAGCACGAATCCAATATTTTTGTTAGTTATTTTGTTACATCTAACAAAATAACCCAAAAATCATACACACACACACACACACACGCACACACACACACACACACACACATATATATATATATATATATATATATATATATATATATATATATTCATATAGCTTTCTCTCTCTCTCTCTCTCTCTCTCTCTCTCTCTCTCTCTCTCTCTCTCTCTCTCTCTCTCTCTCTCTCTCTCTCTCTCTCTCTCTCTTTGTCTCTCTGACTGCCTCTCCTTACTTCAGTGTCCATCTCTCGTGCTCCAATTTGTTTAGCGTTCTGGCCAGCCCTTGTTATTTCACCGTGAAACATATTCTGCAAACTGCTACTTCATTTTCCTGACAAATTATATAAATCTTTAGAAACCTGGCTTGTTTGTTGTTGTTGTTTTTTTATATATTCTGTCCGTGGTACTTTGAAATCCTTTTTTTATATAAGATTTTTTTTCTTATCTTTCCTTTTTTCTCTTTTTCTGTTTCATTTTTTTTATTTTAGTGTTGTTTTTTATTCTATCTTTCTTAGCTTTATGTCGTTTTAAGTGCAATAGGCAGTAGCTTTTCATAACGAGACTCAATTTACGGGAAATTCTCCTCCTTATGAAACTTCTGATCGTTTCTTTTCCCTTTTTTCATACCTTTTTTCATTATTTAATGTTGAGAGGAGCTTCTTAGAGAGAATTATTCTTTTAGGTGAAATATCTCCTTTCACATTATCAAAATTAAATGTCGCTTTAGTCTTAATATTTTTTTCACATCATTTCTGATAGAGAGTCTTTTAATAAGTCTTTGAATAAGGGGTAATGTAGTTTATTAAGATATCAAGATACCGTCATTTGTGAAAAAGTACAGTACGCGGAATTTAATCGTTCACTGTCAGTATTTACTTTCTTTTTATTTAGTTAAGTTTGAAAAAAAAAAAAAAAAAAAAAAAAAAAAAAAAAAAAAAAAAAAAATCCTTTCAAAGAAATAGTAAACAACAGAGAAGATGATTTCTCTTTTATCCATAATTATTCCATTAGTATGATTATGTAACCTGCAACGGGTGTTCTGTGTTGATACGTTGATATTTCAGGAATGTTATTATCTCTATTTAATTACATTTTTTTTCTCGTTTTTGTTGATTTTTTTCTCTCTCTCTTTCTTTGGGTGTTTCTTTATTTATTTGTTTAATTCCTTTTGTCTTTCTTGTTGGCTTTTTTTTGGGGGGGAGTATTTGAAAAAAAAAAATCTATTTTTTTGTGTTTGTGCGTGTTTGTTTGTGTGTGTGTGTGTGTGTGTGTGTATGTGTGTGTGTGTGTGTGTGTGTGTGTGTGTGTGTGTGTGTTCATTCATGTGTGTACGTATGAATGCAAGCCCACATGCGTTTCACAACGTGCGCAAACAATCCCTTTCCACCACAGAGCAACCACTAAGCAATCCACGAAGCAGGTCAGAATCAAAGAGCAAGCCACGAAGCAAGACAGAATCAAAGATCAAGATAGAATCAAAGACCAAGCCACAGAGCAAGACAGAATCAGAGATCAAGACAGAATCAAAGAGCAAGCCACGAAGCAAGACAGAATCAAAGATCAAGATAGAATCAAAGACCAAGCCACAGAGCAAGACAGAATCAGAGATCAAGACAGAATCAAAGACCAAGCCACAGAGCAAGACAGAATCAGAGATCAAGACAGAATCAAAGACCAAGCCACAGAGCAAGACAGAATCAGAGATCAAGACAGAATCAAAGACCAAGCCACAGAGCAAGACAGAATCAGAGATCAAGACAAAATCAAAGACCAAGTCACGGAGCAAGACAGAACCAAACCCCAAACGCAAGTCGGTGCCTCAGACGCTTCCCGAAATCAAGCCGGACGCCAGACACGACCAAGACACGGTGGAATAGCAAGGCCACCTCCTCCAGGATATCACGGATGTCTTACGGGAGCGTTGCCATGACGACCAGCATCCCCCGTCCTCAAATCCTTCGCTCGGGAGATGCTTCTGTTGCGTAAAAGCGGATATTTGTTTCGCATATTCATACCTGAGGATACGCATGCCAACAGACACGTGGGTATGCCTAAGATAATGCCCATATGGAGATATCTGCGTAAAGGAAATAAAGAAACGGCCCTAACAAGAAAGTTAAATTGTGATCGTCACTTGTTAGGAAATTGTTAAGAAAACAAATCGGATGAGGAACTCGTGATGTGGTTCGAAACGCGTTTGTTCGATTTCTTTTCTTGTTGGGGATGTTTTTATTTTTATCTTTTTATCTTTTGCGTACACGTTTGTTTGTGCTCATACATTCATACACACACTCGCACACACACACACACACACACACACACACACACACATACACACGCACACACACAGGTATATATATATATATATATATATATATATATATATATATATATATATATATATATATATATATACATATATATACATATGTGTGTGTGTGTGTAAATATTTATATGTATATATACATATAAATATATACATATATAAGTATACATACATATATATATATATATATATATATATATATATATATATATATATATATATATATACATATATATATATATATATATATATATATATATATACATACATATATGTTTTTATCATGTATTGGTGCAAGATATTCTCTTTCTTTTTCATTTCTCTTTATTTTTCTCTATTTTTCTCTATTTTTCTTTCTTTTTCTTTCTTTTTCTCTCTTTTTCTTTCTTTATCTTTCTTTTCTTTCGTTTTCTTTCGTTTCTTTTTCTTTCTTTTCGGTCATAAAAGAAGTTGACCTCGACATCCCTTTCACAAAACTCTTTCCTTAATGTCTTCTGGTTTCTTTTTTTTTTCTTCTTTTTTTTTTTTTTTTTGTCTGTTTCTTTTTTTTTTGCTGATTTATTTTCTTTTTTTTCCTTTTTCTTTTTTTTTTTTCTTTCACTCTTCTTGTAATCTTTTGAAATGGTTGATGACGTAAGCTGGAGGAAAGGGAGGGGCGGGGGGGGGGGGGGCGAAGGGTGGGCAGGAGACGGGTGGGGAGGGGGTGAGGGAGGTCCTTCAGGAGGGCCCTTCCCTCCCCTCCCCCTCTCTCTTTCTGACTCCTCTTTTTCTTCTTTTTCTTCTTCTTCTTTTTCTTCTACTTCTTCTTCTTTTTCTTCTTCTTTTTCTTCTTCTTTTTCTTCTTCTTCTTCTTTTCTTCTTCTTCTTCTTCTTCCTCTTCTTCTTCTTCTTCTTCTTCTTCTTCTCCTTTTACCCATTCATCTTCCTTCTCCTTCTCCTCTTTTTGAAATGGCTATGGTTGAAGTTGAAGGAGGGGAGAGCGGGGACTGGAGACGGGGGTGGGGGGAGGGGGGAGGGGGGAGTTCCTTCAGTAAGGATTGAAGATGCAACTCCCCCTCCTCTGGACATCCCCCTCCCCTTCCCCTCCCTCTTTCTGATTCCTCTCCTCCTCCTCCTCCTTCTTCTTCTTCTTCTTCTTCTTCTTCTTCTTCTTCTTCTTCTTCTTCTTTTTCTTATTATTCTTATTCTTATTCTTATTCTCCTTCTTCTTCTTCTTCTTCTTCTTCTTCTTCTTCTTCTTCTTCTTCTTCTTCTTCTTCTTCTTCTTCTTCTTCATCTTCTTCTTCTTCTTCTTCTTCTTCATCTTCTTCTTCTTCTTCTTCTTCCTCTTCTTCTTCTTCTTCCACTCTCTTTCCACCCTTTTTATCTTACTTCTCTTTCTCCCCTTTTCGCCTCTTTTAATCTTATCACTCGTCTTAATAGTTGAAAAAAAAATCTTTCAGTAGATGATGAAGCTGCTAAAGTTGATATTTCAGCGTGACTTGTAGATGTTCATGAAGTTTGGTTAGTGGTATAGAGGCTTGAAAATAGGCATTTCAGCACAGATGTTCATGAAGTCTGGCTGATAATATAGAGGCTGAATAAAGGCATTTCAGCACAGATGTTCATGAAGTTTGGCTGATAATATAGAGGCTTGAATAAAGGCATTTCAGCACAGATGTTCATGAAGTTTGGCTGATAATATAGAGGCTGAATAAAGGCATTTCAGCACAGATGTTCATGAAGTTTGGTTAGTGGTATAAAGGCTTGAATAAAGGCATTTCAGCACAGATGTTCATGAAGTTTGGTTGGTGATATAGAAGCTGAATAAAGGCATTTCAGCACAGATGTTCATGAAGTTTGGCTGATAATATAGAGGCTGAATAATAGTATTTCAGCACAGATGTTCATGAAGTTTGGTTAGTGGTATAGAGGCTTGAAAAAAGGTATTTCAGCACAGATGTTCATGAAGTTTGGTTAGTGGTATAGAGGCTGAATAAAGGCATTTCAGCACAGATGTTCATAAAGTTTGGTTGGTGATGAAGATAGGATATAATTGCTGAAGTAAATGTTGTTTCAGCATTTCATAAGAACGAGGGTTGATGAATATATATATATATATATATATATATATATATATATATATATATATTTATATATATATATATATTGTAGTTTACGTGAAAATATATATACACATATATATTGTAGATACATGAAAACATGCACACTCAAAATCATGCAATTCTTGCATGCTTAAAACTACAAAATTCTTGAGCGCTGTTGCCACATCACGGATATCGTCCTCCAATGCAAACGACCTCATTAGCATCCAATACTTCTTTTCACTTTTTTTTCTTATAAGTTCCGAAAAGGCTTCTTCAAAATTCGAATATATCATTGCAACATTTTCACGAAAGGTGATCGAGGTCGGATCTAAATCGAGTGTCATGTTGGCACTTCCTGGAGGGTCATGAATATGCCAAGTCACACTGCATGGAATTAAATCGTTTGTTTAGGTTTTAATGAAATATGTGCGAGTAAACGCGTGTAAACATACAAATGCATATATATATATATATATATATATATATATATATATATATATATATATATATATATATGTATGCATGTATGTATGCATGTATGTATGTATGTATGTATGTATATATAGATAGATAGATAGGTATGTAAATATGTATATCTATTTGTTTGTGTGTCTGTGTATGTTTTTGTATGTGCGTCTATGTAGATAGATAGATAGACCGATAGATAGATAGATATAGATATGTAATGTGTGTATGTGTCTGTATGAAGATGTACGCATATGTGTACTGATGTCTACTGCCACGTCTATGTATCTAAATCTGTGTATCTTAGAGACTGCGTGTGTCCGTGCTACACCGGATCTCGGCCAAAGAATAATGATGTCGGAGATAACAAGACCGAGACATGTTTGGTGCCACAAAACAGGAAAAAATATTGAGGGAGGATTTAATATATATTAAGGGATTCGAACAATGATTAGCGAATAGAATACTTTATTTTATGCAGATTGTCAAAGGGGAAAAAAATATATATGAAGGAATAAATACTTATAATACAATGCAGAGACACACACTTGCGTGTCTATCTGTCTATATCTATATCTACGTCTGTGTATCTCTATAGGTAAAAAGACAGATAGGTCTGTGTATAGAGATAGACAGATAGATAAAGTTAGATATGTAACAAAATACATAGATTGATATAGGTACGTATGTATATGTATAAATATATATATATACATATGTGTGTATATATGTATATATATATTTTTTTTTTTCAACAGCCATTTATTCCACTGCAGGACATAGGCCTCTCTCAATTCACTATTGAGAAGTTATTTGGCAGTCTCACCCTTGCCTGATTGAATGCCCTTCCTAATCAAACGCGGTTCGGCGCGCTAACACTTGTGCCACGGCGGTGACTTCCCCTATGACACCTGCGCTCGACCTCTTAAGGTGATATGTCGTTTTCTCGCCGTGAGATCGGGCTCGAGCCATTAATCGGAGTGGAGGTATTTTTCACAACTGCCGCGGCGGGGAATTGAACTCGGGGCCACGAGGGTCGGAGTCAAGTGCTCTAACCAATGGACCATCGCAGGAGATATAAATATATATGTGTATATATATATATATATATATATATATATATATATATATTTAAACCAATGGTGCCGGGGAAAATTAACAAAAAATGGGGAAAATATTGTGCCCACTTTCTATGTTTTTCGTGAAATGTCTGCCGATAGATGGCTCTGCTAGCGCCTGATTTAAATGGCGGGAAAAACGTGTTTTTCACTAGTGCTATGAAAATCGATGGTGTTATTTTTATCATAAACATTATAATTTTTATATTTTTTTTTAACATTAGTAACAGCAAAATAAGATTACGTAAAATATTTTGTAAATCAAAGAAACAGGTAAACGGGCGAGACGGGCGGTGCTCGTAACTGGCTCATTGGGGAGTTAGTACAAGTGCTGCCATCTATGCGTAAAAACAATCAAACAAGTACTCACTGTGGGCATAGCACGTACGTACACGTTATACCCGGCACCAAAGGGATATATATATATATATATATATATATATATATATATATATATATATATATATATGTGTGTGTGTGTGTGTGTGTGTGTGTGTGTGTGTGTGTGTGTGTGTGTGCATACGTATGTGTATATATATACATATATACACAAACTTACTAACTTCATGCCTCTGATAACGAACACAAACAAGAAAAGTTAGATCACATGTCACATTGCGCTAACAAGGCTTGAGAATAACGCATAACGAACCCCAAACATTTTCATAATAAGAGAGAAACTTGACTCATAAAGCTAGTTTTTGCTCCATACTTTCCCAAAGTATTTTAATTTTTCTCTTTATGAAGCTGCGAACTTGTCATCTTTCAAAGGCGGTGGATTTCGTCTTGCAATTGGATCGGCTGCAATGTTGCTTGCTTGTTGAATGGTTGGAGTGTGTGTGTGTGTGTGTGTGTGTGTGTGTGTGTGTGTGTGTGTGTGT